ATGACTCATCCCAGGAACTGCCCCTTTCCATGGTTCCGACTGGCTTTGTGCTTGATGTGATTGGCTGGCACATCTATAGAGGTCAGGTGCCCTTGAAGAATCATACTGGTACTTTGTCGCGTGTAGACTCCAGCTCTTAACTGTATGGTGCCATATGCATCAGATATCAAAATACTCATTTTGATGTATGATTACATAGATCTATCTCGCATTCGAAAGAGACACGTAGGATCAGATATCAAAATAATAAGTGATCCCCGTGGACAACCCGTGGCTGCACAGCCGTCATAGGTACATCGAGAGGATTCTCCGGAGAAGATCGGCCCTGTGAAACTTCATGTCAATGATTATTTCTCACCCCTCGTTCTTTTTTCAGGCTCCCGTCTTTCCTTCATACAACAACACTCTATCGAATAATCTCCTAATTTCGCACTTGCGCGTTCATTGGCGACCAACTGTCGTCAAATGAACCTGCACTCTCACTATCTATTTGAGTGCAAGGTATGTAAAATCTCCATCCACTCATATCGAAACATCTAACGATCCCAGCATTGCCTCTTTGCTCTGAAGAGGTCACCCGTCAGATAAATGGTTTTCAAACCATTCACCCACCTCGCGCGCCAGAGTTTCACCAAAGCCTTCACCCATGGCTATGCTCAATCAGTAGTCGCCGCGTCGCAGTCCTACGCGTCGACCGCGCCCTTTAACCCGCTCGCCGTCCAACCCGCCAAGTTCTCCCGCACAACCCAGTTACAAAATGCCTTCTCCAACGCGTCCAGCTCCTCTGGTGCTGGCGCAAAGGCCAGCCAGGGCGGTTCGGGCAACGGCGACTTCGGTTTAGCCGCTTACTATGCCGCCTGGCAGCATGCCCAGCAGACTGGCGAGGATAGCGATTGGACCCAGTTCGAGTTCAAGCGTCGCATTGGCTGGCAGCCGTCTGAGGAGGCCGACGATGTTCCTGAGAATCGGGCTGCGTCGCCTGAGTCTGTTCCGCCGCATCCGACCAAGGCGGCGATGAATGATGATGTTAGTGCCCAGGTTGAGGAGGCTGTTGCTCGTGAGATTCAGATCCAGGAGGAACAGGCCAGAGCGGAGGAGGCTGCCGAGGGATCTGATGCGATCGTGGAATCGGACGTGTCGGATGCTGTCTTAGAGGCTAACCAGGTTGCCTCGGAGCGTGTTGTGCAACTGGCTGCTTCTAAGCAGTATGCGGAGATACCGGCGGCGTTTGAAACACTGCTCCATGATGGCATTACTCCGACTGTCGAGGCCTATAATGCCCTGCTGGTCGCTGCTATTCGTCTTCACCCTGATGCCGCTCAGGCTATCCCCAAAGCCCTGGATGTCTACTCGGACATGCTTCGTCGTAGGGTAATTCCCGATGAAGAAACCTATGAGACTCTGGTTCAGCTTTTGGTGACCCGGGCTCACGATATCATCAAGGCCAAGGAGGCTTTGGAGAGCGAGCGTGTGCGATTTGGTGGTATGGAAGAGCCTGGCAAGTTTATGCTTCAGTCTAGTGAGATGGAGCGGGATATCCTTGCCGAGGATACCTCTCTGTCCATTGCTGTCAAGCTCTTCGATACTGCCATCGCCCGTCACAGCCGTCTTGTGTTCCCGCTGGACATGTACCGTCACCTTATCATTGCCTGTGCCAAGGAGGGTAAGGTGGAGGATATGATCCGCATCTACGCCCACATGGAATCGCAGAAGATGACTCCCCACGCCACCATCTTCCCATCAATGATCACTGCCTTTGCTTCCGTTGGTGATCTCCGCAGCGCCGTCGAATGCTACAACGAGTACCGCGGTCTCGCTGTCTCCGACGACAACGGAATCTTCAGCATTGTCCAGCGTCAGGATGGCCAAGTCTATGCTGCTTTGATCCGCGCGTACCTGTCCAACGGCAAGGAAGAGGGCGCCATGCAGTTCCTCGACCGGATCCGTTCTTCGTTCGACGAGGTCACCGAAGGTCGCCAGGACCGCTGGTCTGCAGTGGAAACCGTCATTGTCGAGGAGGCACTTGTGCAACACTTGATGAACGCGGGCAACCACAGCAAGGCATTGGAACAGGCCAAGGCCCAATTGCATGATGCATCTCGGGATCAGGCCATTTCTCGGATCTGCATGGCCGCCGCTGATGCAGGCGATCTCCCCACTGCATCTGAAGCATATGACTCTCTGCCTACTGCACCTGACGTTCGACAGAACCCAGCTGTCTCGCTGCTGGCTCTTCATGTCCGTCAGGGTAATGTGTCGTCAGCCCGTTCCTTGTGGATCATGTTGAACACGGTGGGTCAGGCAACCCCGGATCTGGTCCAGCCGACCGCTATGTATGCGGTTGCTCTGATCAAGAGTGGAAATGTTGAAGAGGGCCTCCACCAAGCCCGTAATATGTTCACGCGTATTCGCAACGCGTCCTCCACACCCGTCGTCCGTGAACAGATTACTGAGTCCCTTCACCTCTTTGGCCGTGTTCTTATGCAGTCGGCCGCTGTTCTTTCTCCTCAGGCTTCCATGACTCTGTTGTGGTCCATGCTCGAGAACGGCGGTCTGGTTTCTCCTCTCGCTGAACACGCTGTCGCTAACCTTGGTCCCATTGGTATTTCGCAGCTTAAGCCTGCCGACCTGACTCTTGCGTTGCAAGTGCAGGCTGGCATGCTGGCTAGCAACAGCGCTATGGTCTTTGATGTTGCCCACCCCGTTCGCTTCGCACACATGCTCGACGTCGCTCTGTCGGCAGGTCTTCCCATGGACATCAACACCACCGGCTTGGTCGACCAGGCTGTCGGCAAGCTTTTCGTCAGCCGTCCCGATGTTGTGAAGAGGTGGCAGGACTATCTGGAGGCTAGCTCTCAGGCCTCTGCTGTTTCTCCCAAGATGTTCTCCGACCGCCAGAGCCCCGTCTCCATGACCGAGACTTCGATCACCACCCCGTCTGCCAGCGCCGAAGCTTTCGATCCTTACGCGCATGCGACCGATTTCCGTGGCTCTGCCGTCATCGCCGAAGAGCTCGAGAAGGCCTCCGGACGCGCTGAGACTCACCTTAACGAGGCCTTGACACGTCTTAAGAACATGCGCCGCATCGGTCGTCACCCGCGCTACATCACCTACGCGAAGCTGATCACCGCCGCGGCCAAGTCTGGCCGTATGACTCTGGCCCACGAGATTCACAGCATGGCCCGCACCGACGTTCCTCTCGACATGAACTTCAGCGTTGTCAAATACGGTTGGGTTTCCATTCTTGATGCCATGGTCGCCGCCTGCCTTACCCTCGGTGATCGACAGCTGGCCGCACAGTACCACCAGGAGCTTCTTACCCTGGGTTCCGCCCCTTCGGCCAATACCTTCGGTCTGTACATCACCACCCTGAAGGAGTCCACCAAGACCTTCGACGAAGCCACCGAGGCTCTGAAGATCTTCCACCGCGCGGTAGCCGAAGGTGTCGAGCCCACCTCCTTCCTGTACAACGCCCTCATCGGCAAGCTCGGCAAAGCCCGTCGCATCGACGACTGCCTCGCCTACTTCGCCGAGATGCGCGCCAACAACGTGCGTCCCACCAGCGTGACCTACGGCACAATCGTCAACGCCCTCTGCCGAGTCAGCGACGAGCGCTTCGCCGAAGAAATGTTCGAAGAAATGGAATCCATGCCAAACTACAAGCCCCGGCCCGCACCCTACAATTCCATGATTCAATACTTCCTCAACACAAAGCGCGATCTCAGCAAAGTTCTCGCCTACTACGAGCGTATGCAAGCCCGCCACATCCAGCCCACAATGCACACGTACAAGCTCCTCATCGACGCGCACGCCTCCCTAGAGCCAATCAACATGGCTGCCGCCGAAGAAGTCCTCGAGCACATGAAAGCAGCAGGCCAGCACCCAGATGCCGTGCACTACGCATCCCTCGTCCACGCCAAGGGCTGCGTCCTGCACGACCTCGCCGGCGCTCGCAAAGTCTTCGACTCGGTCATGGCCAATCCCCGCGTCCGACCGCAACCATGTCTGTACCAAGCCCTCTTCGAGTCGATGGTCGCCAACCACAGCGTCGTCGATACCGAGGAGGTTGTGCGGAACATGGCTCAGCGTAAGATCGAGATGACGGCTTACATTGCCAACACTCTCATCCACGGCTGGGCCGCTGAGGGCAACGTCTCCAAGGCGAAGGCTATCTACGATAGCATTGGCATCCAGAAGCGCGAGCCTAGCACGTACGAGGCTATGACGCGTGCTTTCTTGAGTGCCGATGATCGTGTCAGTGCCGCTGCCATCGTCCAGGAGATGATGTCTCGTGGATACCCGTCCGCGGTTGCTGGCAAGATCGTCGATCTTGTTGGTGTTTCCTCCTCTATTTGATTGTTTCATACCCTTCTACCTCATACCTCGTTTAATTTCCTCTTTTGTTGCGACCCTACATCTCTCCGCCAGGGCTGGATCCCGTGTGTGGAATATTTCTGGTTCGGCGTCTGTAGGGCGGCAGTGGGATATGGAACATGCAACATCTGATCTGCTTTTGGTTTTGATCTTTGGGTCTTTCTTTGTTGATATGGCATCCAGCGTGGACTGGCGTTTTTATCTGGCGTTCAAAAAGGCGTGCATGGAAGCACTGTATACCATTTTGTTTTTTGTTCATAGACATCTCTCAACTCTCCCACCGCGTCTTACGCGCAGAAATATGAAAAAAAGTGAATTGAGTCAATATTGTTCTTTACAGTAAAGTAAGCCTGTAAGCAACCTTGAAACCTAATCGGGTGGCATGACGTCTCGGGAGTACCGATCGAGAACTTCCAAGGTTATAGTTCCGGCTACTCCCACTCTCTCTTCTGCCACATACTTGACCTTGAGCTCGAGTTTAGTTAATGACACCCACTGTGTGTCCATCAGCTCGCTTGGCTTTTGACTCGTTTCTCCGTGTCCGAGTCTTTCCCCGCCAACCCCGCCAACTCCCCCTTCACTTTCGACTTTCCTCATCTGTGAACAATCCCAGTCAGCGCGCAAGAATGGACCACGAGTCTCAGAGTGATATCCGCCGTCCGAAGAAGCTCATCTGTATGTATACCAGTTTTAACAATGATCCTCCGGCCCCTCCTTCTTCTACCCCAGTCCAACCCACTCCAATGCACACAAGCTAACAAAGCCTCAGTCGCACCAGGGGACATACCCCCAACCCCAGGCCTAAAGGCCAGCACAATCCCACAACCCCAATTCCAAGACCAAGATGAACCCACCACCCCAGACCTGCGCAGCGCAACCTCCACCCCAACCTCAACAACGGAAACCCAAATACTCTCCAACCCGTCCCGCGCCCACCAATTCACAACAAACCCACCCCTAACAATCTCCCAAATCCACAATACAAACCCCCTCCACCAATTCCACACCTGGTTCCGCGACCCGCGCCTGGTAGCATCCTCCGCGCCAGAAACATGCACATTGGCCACGGCATCCATGCCCTCCGGCCGCGTTAGTGCCCGAGTCGTTTACCTCAAGGAACTGGATGAGCGTGGCTGGGTCGTGTATAGTAACTGGGGCAGTCGTGAGGGGAAGGGGGGACAAGTATTCGGCACTGGAAACGGGGAGGGGAACGATGACACATTAGCCGCAATGCCAGAACCAGACTCGATCCAGCAGGAAATCGGAGTAGGCAACAAATGGGGCGCGCTTACATTCTGCTGGTTGAATGTCGAGCGTCAAGTCCGCGTTGAGGGACTACTCGAACCGCTTAGTCGGGAGGAGAGCGAGTTGTATTGGCGGACGCGCGAGAGGGGCAGTCAGATTGGTGGCTGGGCGAGTTGGCAAAGCCGTGTGCTTTGGGATGCTGATCCGGAGATGTTAACTGAGCGGCAGAGGAGAAAGAGTGTGGCGGTCTTGCAGGAGGGGGTTGCTGGGATTGTTCCGGTTGATATTGAGGAGACGGATATTGAGGATGGGAGAGCTTTGCTTGAGGCGAGGGTTAAGGAGATGGAGGCCAGGTTTGAGGGGGTCAAGGATATTCCGTTGCCACCTTTCTGGGGCGGTGTTAGGCTTGTTCCCGAGTCTGTGGAGTTTTGGCAGGGGAGAAGGAGTCGCTTGCATGATCGGTTTAGGTATGTTCGTGTTGGGGGTGAACATGGCGAGGGCGCGAGGTGGAGGGTTCAGAGGCTTTCGCCGTAGATCTAATGATTGTTAGAGTGTCTTAGAGCAGGATGTGTCGAGTGATTCATATCTTATACTATATACATCCATATCCATATCAGTCTTATCAGTCTATCTTATCACATCTTATCAGCCTTGGCACAAACCCAACGTCACCCAAACACCAAGACCCTCGATATCCTCCTTTATAACCCAATCCAACAAGAACGCGGCAATACGACTGCCCAGGACAGAAACAACGACTCAATGTCTTCCCCAGCACCCCCAAAACAATCCTCCACATCCCCATGGATCATCCTCGCTATAACAAGCGGAACCTTCGCCGCGCTCAACGGCGTTTTCGCGAAATTGTACGTGCCTCCACATTGTTACACAAGCACAGTTATATCCGGGGATATCAAGATGTCTATGAACCCTGGGATAAGCCGTGAACCTTCCCGGCGCTGTGTAACCCAAACCCCTGGTCCTGGAACTACCAACCCTGGAACTCAACCCTGGAACACCTGGAACAGCAGGCTAATATGGCAATCATGGGATACAGAACAACAGATAACCACACAACATCATTCGCAACATCCATCGCCCACCTTCTCGGATTGGAGTCTTCGCCTTTTATCGAGATGCTTGTTCGGGGTGTACGTTATCTATGTCCACCTGAATCCTATGCTATCCTACCCCTACAATACTCAACACCCAATTCCACAATACAACAACTAACACAATATCAACTCTATCCAGGCATGCCTAGGCCTAAACATCCTCTGCAACATAATAATGTGGGCCCTCTTCACACGAGCACTAACAGCCGGACCCTCAACAACGAAGGTCTCCATTACGAATACGGCGAGCAATTTCTTGGCTACGGCATTGCTGGGCATGCTTGTTTTTCGGGAGGCTGTGGGCGGGCTTTGGTGGGTTGGGGCTGGGATGATGGGGGCTGGGTGTATTCTTGTTGGGATGAGGGAGGGGGCGTGAATATGAATATACTGTTTTTGGTTTGATGGATGGGTGGATGGAGCTTTGAAGTAGATTGGGTTTGGATAGTTTATTTAAGTTAGATGTAGATGTACCTATGTATGTCGATTTAAAAGGAATGCCTGTTGTAGATAAGAGTCTTTCAAATGAGTCTGTATGGTGGGTGTCATGTATAGGGGATTGATACTTTGATATTTAGCTACTTGGAGCATTTCACTCTACGTTTCTCACAATTAAATTTGATATCTCTGTTTAGGAGAGTATCCAGAATATAGAAAGGCAAATAGGCGGGCTCAGTCTCGTGGGCTTGGAGGCATAGATTCTATAATCTACTTAGACTGTGTAGATATAGTGATATACTCCATACAATATGTGAATGGCAACCTGGTCTTCTCTTTTTGCATACTATCATAACGATGGCTCTATGCATAGAAATGGTTATTGTCTACAGAACAAGAGGCGCGGTAAGCCCATTGTTTACTTCCCAATAGGTACAATACAATATCTGTACTCGAAGATCCCATTGTTGACATTTTGAAAAGCCCTACTTTCAACTCTCCAGTTTCGGTTCTTCTCTTGTTTACCAACCCTCTTCCATCCTCTCAATTAACAAGGCATAAATCGTGATCATGGCTCCCCCTATTAGCCCTGGTGCCTCCGTCACCCACCACATTCAGTCTTCTCCCAGACGCTCTATCGCCTCAATCAAAGTCATCAAACGCGGCTTTCCTCCCATCATCCCAATCATCATCCCTCCAAACAAATACAGCCCCACCAGCCCCATCACAGAATGGTTCAAACTCGACCGTCTTCCCGATGAGATGCTGGAAGAAGTGTCGAAAACCCTCTCAGTCACAGAGCTCAATGCACTCCGCCTGACAAGCCGCCACATGTACCGTATCAGCCTCAGGACATACGCACGCACAGCCTTCCACACAATCTCAACAGACTTCAGTGAGCGATCTCTGGCTCGCATCCATGCCATTATCGAAGACGATATCTTCCGTCCTCAGATTCGCCAGATTGCAGTTCGGTGGACGGAGATTGACCGCCAAACAGACAAAGCCTTGGTAGAGGCATTCTGGATGGCTTTTAACCGCTTCGAGAATTGTCAGATGTCGGATGCTTGTCATTTTTTTCTTATGCTGCGGACTCACGTCTGATTGGGACCTGCCGTTTTCTGGGACTGGGGATGGATCTTTACAGCTGTTTTGATTGAGATACTTTATGTGCAGCTGAGATATGTGCAGTCATGGGAATGGAGGAATAGGGCTTGGAAGACTATGACCATGCAGCATTGGAACACATGGCAATTTTGAAGCAAACGTCTGGACACAAATCGAATATCATTACTGATACATCTATCATCTATTTCCAAAATTTCATACCTCATTGTAAGAAATGCGCAGGAGAGCTCTCAAAAACACCAATAGCCTGCTCCAACCTCTTCTCATACTCCTCCATTTCAGGTCTATCCTGATCACCGTCATCCAAATCCCCACAATCCTCTCCATCTCCCAAGTCCCAAGCCTAACAGTCCTCTACCACCTCTCCCAACGCAAACACCGTCAAAACAACACACTAACAGTCTCCGTCTTCGCCAAATCCCCAATGGAAGAACCGCCCAGCCAAACTCGCGCCAACAAAGAATCAAACCTCCACATGGCCGGCATAGAAGCCATAAACATAGCATGCACATTCCAAACCTGGCCAATCGAAGTCTCAACACTAACCCGCCAATCCTTCCGCCAACACATTGAAGGCGAGTCCCCGATCTTGCATATCGGCACACATGGCAGTCTCAATCACCGGAATCCTCTCCTCTCGTCTATATCCAGAGGTCGCGGACAGGATTTCCGCGTACTTGATATGTCAGCCGTCAGGAGTAATGTCAGTCTTCTTGTCTTCGCGGCTTGTCTAAGTGGTCTTGGGAAAGCGACTATCAGTAGCGAGGTACTTGGTTTCTCGCATGTTGTCCTGAGTACCGGGTGTTAGACATATATCGGGACATTGTGGAAAGTGAGCGATTTCGGATCGATGATGGTTATGATTGTTTTCCATCGGCTGCTGAAGAGGAAGACGTTTCTTTCTGTTGCGGAAGTTATGCGTGAAGCACAGTTGGAGGTGTTAGGGCTTGATTGTGAGAAGGCGGGTGCTCTTTAGATGATATTATGGGGGACTGGTCTTCGCCTGATATACTAGGTCGAGTTCCTGCGGAGTTTGTGCCTGATGCGGAGTTTTTGTTGTTGACTTTGAAGATGATTCTGGAGCAATTGGATTGGTTGAGTCTGTTCTATTGGGCGCCGTTTACGCTGATGGGGTTATGGCGACTTTCGGGTTTTGGGGGTTGAGGAATAAGTAACATTGTGTAGCAAACGCCTCTATAAAGATACAGTATAAGTATAAACACTATTCCTCCATTTTCGGGTATTAGATCATCGGTCGATCCTCTCTGTCCTCCAACTCGACCATGGCATCATCTTCGGTACCATCCAAGATGCCTGATGGCTCAGACTGCCTAGGCGGATTCCGATCACGCAGCCGGACCGGCCGGCGAGAGCCAGACACGAAACCAGCGACTGTCTGGATAAGTCGCCACAGGCGCTCTTCCAGCGTTTCATGTGCAGGGCTGTTCAAGTGCCCGCCGAGCCCGGAGAATTCCGATGAGCTCGTTGCTGCGAGGGTATGTTCCTCGGCTTCCACCTTGAACTGGTATTTCAGACAGTCTTTCACGGTGACTAGGCCGGTAAGGCGGCCACGGTGTTCAACCAGGATGACTCGCGGTCCCATCTTCTTGAAGATTTCCATGACTGTCTCGAGGGGGTGGCGCGGGTGTACGGTCAACGGTGTGTGATCGACATACCGCGAAAAGTCGACGAAGGCGGCTCCTGCGCTGCGCTGGATTGCATCGAATGTCTCTAATGACCGTGCGTGCTGGGGGACAGATGCTCTCCGTGCAACGGCGGCTTCGGCTGCTTCATTTGTGAAGACGCAGCGTGCGTTTGGTGCTACCATGCCCTCCTTGCGGGCACGGTCGATGGCATATCGGAGCTCGGTGCGTCCGATGTATCCAACTAGGGTTTTGCTGGTGCGATCTTCCACGACGGGGAAGCCTTGGAACTTGTTATCGTTGAGAAGATGTTCTGCTTCACGCACTGGGAAGTCCGATGCCGGCAGTGAGAGCGGGTCTGTGGTCATTGCGTGAGAGACGGGCACGTTGAAGACGTGCTCTTCTTTGTTGTCTAGGAACGGGAAGCCGTTAAACCAGATCATTCTGTCGGCGATACCACCGCTGCCGAATCGATCACCGACGGCTTTGGTTACTCCTACCACGATCTGCGAGAGGTTAGCATGTTAGATTGACAGACATCATTGAAAATACATACCATGGTTGGCAGAATGTATGTTAGCGCACCAGTCAGCTCGAACATAATGACCGTCACGGAGATGGTCAGATGCATGATCCCACTGAGGGCTGCACCTGCGCCTAGGAACGCGTATGTTCCCGGTGTGATGCAAGGTACGTCTGGATTACAAGAGGCGAAGAATGCAGATTTGGGGAACGATTCATGTAGTGCCTGCACCATGATTCCCACCATGCGACCAAAAGATGCTCCTACAGCCATTGAAGGCACGAAGATACCAGCTGGCACTTTGCAGCCATAGGAAATGATCACCAAGCCCGTGCGAAGAACAGTTGCAAAGGCTAGAGATAAGACCATCGGCCATCGGTTTTTGGCTCTGCTATAAGTCAGTATAGTTTCCTCGGCATATGGGGAGCATCTCATACTCGCAAAGTCCATCATAGTCATGACCACCCTCACATTCGCGGAACAAGATCTCCATCATTTCGGTCATGTTGATCTTGAGGAACATATTGGGGTAGCACAGCACTGCAGTTAGTCCGGCAAGAACAACTGACTCGGTGATAGGCCACTGGGACAGGTATTTCTTGCGGAATGCAGCCATGCGAAGGTTCCATTTCATCACGAATGCACCATAAAGTCCACCAAAGACTCCAAGGCCCACGAAGAAGAGCAGTTCAAAGAAATGCCAAGTCCGATCATATTCAACTTGGAACATGACCAATTGACCGGTTCTAAATGGGTTGACAGCCTGAGAAATTAGCAATGATCAACCGTCAACGAGTTGTATACGTACCGCCAGCACACTGGTGGCCACCAAAGCACAAAAATAACTACGCCAAAGAGTCTTGAGGGGGAAGTAGTTGGCCATTTCCTGTTGACAATCAGCATCATCACATAAGTGTAAGTGGCATCAGACGAACCTCCAGTGAGAACAGCACGCCTCCAATGGGGCTTCCAAAAGCAACAGCGACACCAGCTGCCGCTGAGGCAGTCAAGATCTCTCTTGTCTTCGAAGCATTCTGTTTATATTTACCAAAGAAGCGCGAGATCACGTTTCCTGTACACACGGCAAAGTGTACACTGGGTCCTTCCTTTCCCACAGAAAGACCCGATGCGATGGCCAGCGGTAGTGCAATTGACTTGATCAAGAGAGTCCAGGCACCCAGGAATCCCTTCATAACGAAGCCAGCAATAATGCATTTGATCTCTGAGATACCAGACCCTGCCGCATAGGGTGCAAAAGACTTGACCAGAACCGCGGCAATGGATGAAAGCATTAACTACATAAATATTAGTTCACAGGCCATGCATCACGGATGCGACAAGTCTTACCGCTCCAAAGAAATAGACGACATAGTTGAACAGCCAGAATGAAGTCCAATGCTTCCATTCGGGGCAGCCTATAGAACAGTAACGGTCAGTCTCATCATTTTAGTCTCCAACGAAGCTTGTTGAACATACCATTCTCTGCGCCCCAGCAGCAGAACTGCTCATTCAAATAGAATGCAGTAGTACAATGGCCCAACTTGATATCGGAGAGCCATTCGGTAATAATATTGAGCACAGCCGAATTCAATCCAATGGCCATGCCAACAAGTGTAACGACAAGCCACGCCTGGCCTGCATCATATGATTCGTACACTTTCCGCCTCCAGCCAAGGATGCCTTCCTGATCCCAGAACCCCGTCCCGCTGCGCCGCTTAGCGCGGCGCCGCGATTGTTCATAGACGGCATCTTGGACCCAGTCTATAGTGGTGAAGTCTTCATACCGCTTGATCTCACTGATCTCTTCTGTGATCGCGGGGGCTTGGGGGTCGGGAGCGGGTTCGGGGTCGATAGGAGAGGCAACAGGTCGGGGTGATGGCCTGCGCGAATTGCGGCGCTCGGAGTTAACTGAAAGCGACCGGGAAAAGGTCGAAGAAGGGCGCATTGAGTTCATGGCATCGATCGAGAGGATAGGATCAGCATAGTCGGCTTGGAGGCTATGAGCTGTCCGCGATGCGCTTCGCCGTGAGAAGACGGGCTTCCAGGCTTGAAATCAGATCCTCGGACCAGCCTTGAGGTATTGTCGGTCTTTATTCAAGCTGGTGGGATCTTGGGTAACTTGTGAGCGGAACGGAGCTGTGGAAGTAGACGAGGTGACAAAGCGAAGTCGCCAAGTATCGATAACTCTGATAACGCGGCCACGCGTTTAGCTCTTTCTCAACTCCACGCTGGCGCCCTTTTGCATCTACAACGGGTTAAGAGCTTGAAACGGCTGGCGCGTACTGCGACCTTTACTTTACTTACCACTTCCAACCACTACCATGCCTCCAAAGCCTATGGGAGATCCGGATGAGATCACCGGACAGAGCGCGCTTCCCAGTACGTGTTGGACTATAGCTGCGTCAGACAACGTGGCTAACTTATTTCTATAGTTTCACGAATCAAAAAGATCATCCAGCTAGACGAAGATATCGTACAATGCTCGAACAATGCGACTTTTGTCATCGCCAGGGCTACCGTGCGCCACACCCTTACTACCCTGCTTCGAGCACCGACTAACACAATTACAGGAGATGTTCATCCAACACCTTGCTGAACAAGGACACAACGTGGTCAAGTCCGAACGAAAACCCCGCAAGACCGTTCAATACAAAGATCTCGGTGGGTGGCGATTGCTGGTAGAGACCGACAACATGCTAATGATTGTGCAATAGCTGCGGCGGTATCACACACAGACAATCTCGAGTTCCTATCCGACGTGATTCCCAAGACTACGACGTACAAACAATTCAAGGAGAAGAAGGCCAAGGATGCGGCCGGCCAGAGCGCTATGGAGAAGGGCCAACGTACCCTCAATGGCACCAGTGCTGCTCCCCCAGCGAATGGCATTGGCACAGAGAATGCTACTCCACAGGGAGAAGAGTCGAAGACAACGTCTCCGTCGGTTCCTCGGCCGATGGTCCCTGTCAGCGCGTTGATTGCGGACCGGACAGTTGAACCCATGTCGAGTCATGACCATGACGTGGAGATGCAAGATTGAATGCTCCATATACGCCCTATTTTGTTCTCTGTTTATGATTTTGCATTGGAGTTTGCTGGTTCTGGGTTATGCGGTCGCATTGGGTCGGGTTACCGTAGATATTGACAGAGAAGTCAGTCTACTTAAAATGAAAACAAGTAATTAGCAGAAACAGGTCCAACTGCAAATATAGCAGCTAACTATAAATTAACTCGATATAACAGTAGTTAACAATATAATTAGCTTAGTTATATTGTTCGAATGGTAGGGAGTGAACGGGAACCGACCAGCCAATGAGCGGCCCCGTGATTCCGATCGCTAGCGAAAGCTCTGGCTCCAACTTCAACTTCCGACTTCATCCACCCTCTATCCCTCCACGTCCCTCCACACCTCGCGGCTCAATTCCCTCCGTGGTCAATTGCCCTCAACATGTCGCTCTCCTCCGCGTCCAGCACTTTGCTGCGCACCGTCGCCCGCCAGCAGGTGCCCACCACCCGCGCCGCCGTCACCTCCTGCCAGCGGAGGGGAGTTGCCGATGCGAAGTCATCCTTCGAGTCTCCCTTCGCCACCGCTAACGAGCCACGCTCGACCCTGAAGATCCCCGACTTCAGCAAGTACAAGTCCAACAGCTCGCCTCGCTCCAACCAAGTCTTCTCCTACTTCATGGCCGGCTCCCTCGGTCTGGCTACCGCCGTCGGTGCCAAGGCTACTGTTCAGGGTAGGTTTTTTTAATTCTTCGATTCGGAAAGAGATGGGAATAGAATACGAGCGGGAGTGAATTAGATGATATTTCGGATTTCTCGATTGGTCGGAACCGGACGTCCCTGTGCAACAATGACTGACGCGATATTCTTTTTCTCCAGACTTCCTGGTCAACATGTCCGCCTCCGCCGATGTCCTGGCCCAGGCCAAGGTTGAGATCGCTCTCGGTTCCATTCCTGAGGGCAAGAACGTACGTGTTTACATCCGCCATCCCATCCGTGACTTCCAGTGGTCAAAATCCTTATCTAACACACTCCAAACAGGTCATCATCAAGTGGCGTGGCAAGCCCGTCTTCATCCGCCACCGTACCCAGAGTGAGATCGACGAGGCCCGTCAGGGCAAGTGGGAGTCTCTCCGTGACCCCCAGCCCGATGAAGACCGTGTCCAGCGTCCCGAGTGGCTCGTCATGCTCGGTAAGTGGCACCACTCCAATATCTTGCTTGTTCAAGCACAATTCCCATTTCTAACTATCCTTTAGGTGTCTGCACCCACTTGGGTTGTGTCCCCATTGGTGAGGCCGGTGACTATGGCGGCTGGTTCTGCCCCTGCCACGGTTCCCACTACGACATCTCCGGCCGTATTCGGAAGGGTCCCGCCCCTCTGAACCTGGAGGTCCCCGCCTACAACTTCCCCGAGGATGAGGTTCTTGTCATCGGTTAAGCGATCCTTTTTTCAATGCACCCCGAATTTGATCACCGCCCCCGAGCGGCTTGTCTCATTAGAATGTGTGGATGAGATAAAAGATAGAGGGATGATGTATCTCCTATCTATCTGTGTATGTGCTTGTGCGTTTTGGTTATTTCCCTTTTTTAGACAGAGCGGCCGTGTGTCTTGTCAAGATTAAGAGACCTGTGTTTTAATATGGACAAAAAATGAGCCTCTTCTTCCCTTTTGTTTCATGCTCCGGGCTCTCGAGGTCCCTGCAAGCGCGCGCTTCGCCATCCGTGAGGTTAGATGCTCAGGCTAGGATTTTGTCCTAGCAGTGCAGATGATGTCCGCGGTCTCCTTGAGTACATACTTATGTTCTATATTTAGTGTATCGTCTAGTCGTGTTATTTCCTATGTTCAATCTCCGATTCTTCAAGGCTAAAGCTGTACGTAAACGTGAACCAAGGTGAGATCATTCAATGTTTTGCTATATACTCAACTCGCCAGACGCTGCAATAGTAGTACACTAGACTCGATTCTATCCAAGCGAGTCTATCTCTTCATTCAACTATACAAATATACCCACTCCAATGCACCGGGTGAGTTATCAAATCTCCAGTACCAACATGGACCCTTATACTATTGTACGAAGAGTCGTTGGTAACTCTGATACATGTACCTGGCCATGTCTATGTCCAATGTCATGTTCAAATAGATCATCACAAATCACCCAGATCTAAATAGGGCAAAGAGGAGACCCATAACAGCAGCACCAGTCGCAGCACTCTGAAGCGCCACTGTGGTAACATCACGCTGAGAGACGGCTATGCTTCGCTCACTGAAAAACTCATGGAAGACTTGCTTCCAGTATTCGACAGAGGTAGGCGGGTAAGAGATACCAGACAAGCGAGACTGAAGCGACTGAGCGGCACTCACACTCGCGTCACCCGTTGAAGGCGCAGCAGTAGCAGTAGCAGTATCAGCAGGGAGAGTCTCCTGCACGGCCTTCGGCAAATCCTCAATGACAGTTGAAGGCTCAGTATCAGAAGTAGCATCCACAACCTCGGACGGGATCGCCGAAAGCGAAACAGCACTCTCAGCCAGGAAAGCACGGTTAAGCTCCTTCTCCTTCTCAAGCGCCTCAACGACCTTATCCTCAAAGCCCTTTACAAGTCTCTTTCTGCGCCATGGCTCGACGAGAATCTGGAAGACTAGGAAGAGAAGCACGTTGACACCCATCAGACCCCATGTGCCCCATGTTGACATGCGGCGGATTTTATCGGACCAGACTTGTTCTTCGTGGTAGCGGGAGAGGATGCTCTTGCTTAGTTGGGCGGCTGCTTCTTCGGCTTCGCGTTCTGCTGCTGAGAGTGCGTGCGAGGTCTCGGTTTCCGCTACTTCGTTTGTGTGGTCGTTGCGGTAGAGGAGGGTGAAGCGTTCTAGGTCTGTTGGCGACCAGGCGTGTTTGCGTTGTAGGAGTTCGTTTACTTCGCGTTGGGAGGTTGAGCGGCGGTTTATTGCTGAGGCGTAGTTTTCTTTGGCTTGTTTGACGTGAGCTCTGGCTGTGCGGAGACGGCTTTCTGTTTTGTTATTAGTTTCTGGGCTGGAAGACTTGGTTGGGTTGGGTTGGGTTAAGGTGCGTACCTTGGAAGTGGATGTCGTTCTTTAGGGCTTCAATGCTAGAGTAGCCGGTCAGGTCGTTGAGTCGTTGGCCTGCTACGAAGACGTTTGATTGCAGGTTGTCCATCATTGTGCTGAATTGCTTGGACATTTGTGACCGCCGGCTTTCCAGGTAGGAAGGAAGACCTCCACTCTTTGCCTCGGCTTCACTGGCATCTTGCTCCAGCTGTGCCGACCTTTCCTTCTCTACTTCACTCTCCTTCGTGCGTAATTGTTCCGCAGTCTGGTCGGACTCTGTGTGAGGGGGGGCAGCATGAGAACTCCCCACCTCAACACCCGGGATCGGGGCCGGGTCGCGGGAACCAAGCTCTAGCTCTCTCTCCTTAATGACCTTCTCAGCGTCGCTGGGGAACTTCTCTTTGTCATCAAAGGCAGCATATGTCTCGGGCTGTCGGCGGAATTGACATTGTACGCAGGCGGAGAAGCTCCGCGGAGTCGGTCTGGTGATGGGAAAGGTTGGGGTGGCTGGGCGGAAATGTGCTCGCACCGGCGAGGATCGTGTTAATTGAAGGCTGGACCGGAGTGAGTGCTTGAGCAGTATTGGCATGGACTGCATGGCCGGTGTATAGCCACTGGCTCGTGGCGAGGGGAGTGGTTGTAAGGCAGAGGCCGGGTGAAGATCTCGGGTACCTGGCCTCGGATAGGCTTATCAGATTGGAGCCAGTTGCAGAACCCTGGCATGGAATATTGTGTATGTTGTAATCACTGTTTATACTACCTTAGTTATTTCTAGTTAAATATCTAGCTTACTATTCTCGTGAGATGAGAAAATATCTTTTGGCTCTCATTGGCACCGCCGGTCCTATGGAATATATATATCCGCTTCATATCAATGAAGACCACCACTACTTGAACAACATTGTTGTGAGATCATCAAAGTTGCCATAATATCGCATTCGCAGGTTTATAACAAAGACCATTAGACACAAACTTTCCCCGATACAAAGATTGCAATATTGCATCAAAAGTTTAGCACCACCCCAAACCTCGAACCCAAGAAATGACAAAGAACTACGTATAGAAAGAAAAAAAAAGCGAAGAGAAGAAAAATACACAGTTCTCGGCAAATGACCAGTAAAAGAAATATTCAGAATTGAATTACATAGAACATTGCTTCGTCAAAATCATAATGCAGTTCTTAGAACGAGGTCCAAAGAAAGAAAGTAAGGGAACTACACAATACCTAGAATGGAGGGTATAACAGATCACGACCAAAACTGAACTGACATGCGAGAACACTTTTCGCAAATGCAGCATCCTAGTTTTGTCTCAGCACCCGCCACCTCTTTATTCATCGCTCTGCACCTTATTATCACCCTTGACAGCCTCAGCATACGTCGGTGGAGCATGCGAGCTACCCCCCTGCTCAGCACCCTCATGCTGGCCTTGTTGCTTATTCGCCGAGTTCGACTGAGCAGACGCCTGCTGCCCATTGGCGACAGTACCATATGACCGCGGGGCGGGATGCTGGAGGGGCTGGTGCGAGACATAGTAGTAGGTGACATTTCCGTTCTCGAGATCACGGCGCTGGCTTGCGCCACCAGGGATGGGTTCATAGCTCGCCTCGTCAGGGTCTTGTTCCGGGTATTTGACGATGATGTACCATGCATGGATGAGGCCGGGGAGGTATCCCAGGAGACAGAGGGCAATGTTGATGATCGAGTCGGCTGTGCAGATGCCCGCCTTGACCCATACTATTGAGACAGACCTTGATCAGCACTGGCATGGCTATATGTGGTGGGGTCTGGGGGTGATGGAGCTGCGACTTACCTGCAATGGGTGGGAAGAAGACGGCGAGAACCGCCAGGAAAAAGTCAGAGCTGCACATGGCTGTGATTTGAAGTGAGTATCAAAATGGTTGTAATCGACGTCGACGTCTATGACTTTTGCGATGGGTTCGATGCAGGAGTGGCAGCCTGCTTATCCCCCGATCAGATGATGTCAAGGTCATGTGACTGCAGACATAGGACTACATTACTCCCGAGGTCTTCAAAATTATAGTTTGCAAAGTCAACATTATACCGTGGACTACTCATGTAAGGATATTATATCAATCGCGTTTTGACTACAATCAATTATCGAAATGCGACTCATCCCAATGCCGGACCGCAAAAGCGGGGTGCAGCCAACTTTCTATACAAGCGGTAAGTACCCAGTACGAGCTACTGTTACCAACCCACTCCCGTGTCCAGGTACCAAGTACCTGTGTGTCCCAACGATGTCCCTCGCATATTTCCACGATAGCTCACACAATATGGTATATCGGTTCTGTGCATCATGCAAGGCAGTTGGAAAATAAGCAGGCCGGTATGGTAAAACGTTGAAATTTGTGAGACGGCAGTGTTATAGCGATCGTCATTCGGAGCCGCTAACGTCCGTAGCGAGGCTGGGAAACGGAGATGAATACTGTACGAGGACTCGGTATTATACAGAAAAAGTACGAAAGCCCCTGTCTGGGCCCTGCTTATTGAATGGATATTGAATGGCAATCTCAAAATTGGGAGAAAAAGAATGAAAAGTGCTGAGGTAAGATAGTAAGAAAAAGAGTAAACAAACGGGAACCCCCTTTTTAGCATGTAAGATGAGCTGTAACATTCGAGTCTGACTTATGTCTGCGCATATGTAAAAATAACCAAATAGCCGCTGTTTCACAATTCCCTTTTTCCCAGCAGTTCGTCTCCCTTTACCCACTAAGCCCAGGCCACTTCCATCTTGGTCCATAGGCAATCTCATCTCCTCTTCTCCCCTGGTCTTTTGTCTTCCCTTTCGATCTGGGTTTCGTTGACCTATCATTCTGGGTTCACATTGAACCCAAGTCACTCGTTTACTTTCTTTCGCGCGTTTTTCTCTTCTTTTTCCGAGCTTGAGGCAGTAACGGTGGCCTGGGGTCGACCAGTTTCTCTTCTTTTACCCGCCAGTCGTGCCAAATTGAACATTCCCGATCGCAATTGACACATTCCGCGGCATATCTACCTGGGAAGCTTCTTCTATACCAGGGCGACAACTTTCGAGTTTCACGTCCGACCATGTCAGACTCTTGTATCTCCCTCTCGGGGTCAAGCGCCTGTCCTGCCTGGGCCAGCTCGTCCATTTCCACCAATTCCAGCCTATACGGGAGCTTGTGAGTCAACACGCGCCTGAAAACTCGAAGATACATGCTGACAGTGTGCTAGTCCATTCCTCAAAGGTGTATCGAACCTGACCGAGTTCGATGATTCATTAAAAGACTATGTTAAGGGGTCATATGTCTCATTAAAGTATGTGTTGGCAATCATTGGGCAAGGGAGATACTGACTGGTGCATTGTAGATATGACGAGTTGTTGGGCTGCAAAGGCCTCAACACTAGCGCATCAAGCGACTACTATGCCCAATACACAACTAGTGTGATGTGCAGCAGTGTCATCCAGAGTTCCATATCCGACTGTGGTCTATCAACCGATGATGCGCTCCCAATCTGTGTCGACACATGTGCGCTTTGGGCGCGAAGCGAGGAGGAGACTATGGTCAACACCGATCTATGCACCGGCACCGACAAGGACTATACGAGCCAAATCTACTCCGACTTGATTATCTGCGAACAACCATACAAAGCCCTTTCTGGAAGCTGCATCGAAGGAGCCGCGAACGAGCCCGACAACTGTGGATTTGCGTCGAACACCATTGGACTCTGCACCTACTGCGCGGGTGGAACCGATACCTGCTGCACATCATCCAATGCCACGAGCCGCTGTAATGGGGTTACGATACCTACTTCGACTCTGCCACCACTTACTTCGTCTTCTGCCGCGGCTGCAGGTGGTCACCATGGATTGTCTGGTGGTGCAATTGCTGGAATTGTGATTGGTTCCGTTGCAGGAGCTGCCATTCTCGCCGCTCTGATCGCCTTCCTTTGTATCTTCATGCGCCGCCGCCGCAGGAACACTCCGAACGAAGCTGGATTGAACCAACCCAACCCGCAACGCAAGGGAGGATCGCCATCAATGCAACAGGCTGGGAGCCCGACCGGATATAATATGATTCCAGGGGGTCGAGTCACACGCATGTCTGCCTTGCGCGAAATGCCCAGCTCCTCCTCGCCTGCCTATTCACGGACTTCTGCGGCGATGTACAGCGGTGCCAAGTATAGTGATACATCGGATTCAGAGGCCATGGGTGCCAGTCCTGGAGCCATGTCCAAGAAGATCCCTCCTGTGACTGGCAAGCGTCTTGGCTCGCTTTCGAGCAGCTCTGTTCTGGCTGGACTAGAAAGCGACAGCTCGCCTCGCTCCGGTACTAATACCACTTACCAATACTCTTCCCCTGAAGGAGTGACCAGCGGTCAATCAGAGCAGCTGTCATACTTCCGCGATTACTACTCGCAAGATGACATCCACGCCGGAGACAAGGTAGCCGTTCTCTGGGCCTACTCCCCCAGAGCAGGCGACGAGTTCGAACTCGATCGCGGTGAGATCCTCAAGGTGATTGGTATCTGGGACGATGGCTGGGCGACAGGTGTGCGTCTTCCCGAGCGAGCCGAGGACCACGACATCAGCCACCGCGAGCAACGAGACAGTGGAGTCTCGAATGGCTCTCACCTGCCTGCCGGCTCGTCCCCTACGCCATCAGGCGAGATCAAGGCCTTCCCCTTGGTCTGTATCTGTCTCCCGCAGCACTGGCGCAAGATCATCGACGGTGGCCAGGAAGACGATGTAGTCTGAGCGCGGTTCTCAGTTCCCATCAAAATTACGTCTTTCACGACAGCGTGCTGATGCTTTTCCATCTTTCCAGCTTGGCGAGTTGGTTTGATCCGTGCTTTTCTCTCTCTCTCTCTTCAGGCTGGCCACCTCTGATCTCAATGCTCGTTTTCTTCTCGTATTCGATATACCCCCCTTTTTATGACGATCTCGTCTTTTCCTTTGGTTCTTCTATTCTCTTTCTCCTTCTGTGGGGAACCGGTCGCTGGCGCATCGGACTTGGTGGGAATTCCTCACTTGGTCTCTTTTATGTACCCTCGGTTTGCCATTTCTATGTATACCCGTCAGAGGATATCACATACATGCACTTAATGTACATAATTAGACAATTCTACAAGATTAAGGGACATCTCTCCACACTCCCCACATCTGCTCATATCTTACCCGGATCTTGCGGAATCGCGCCTTCGCATATGCAATTACTTTACTAATCCTTGCCCCTCATTTCGCCATAGCCTCCGGGGTACATTTAACTATATTAACTCCCTTCTTGACCTCACCTTCCTCTCTATCACTCACACCAGTACCCATAACACATAGCCCACAACCCATAATGTCCACCCCAAAGATCATCCTCTACACAAACCGCGGCTGCCCATGGGCTCACCGCGCCCACATAGCCCTAAAGGAATCAGGCCTGGACTATGAAGAAGTCACCATCGACCTGAGCAAGCCCCGCGAGCCCTGGTATCTGGACGTGAACCCGGTAAGTACAACCAAACCACCTATCCCCCTATATCAAAAACTAACAAATCCAATCTAAAGCGCGGCCTCGTCCCAAGCATTTCCTACAACGGAAACATAATCACAGAATCAGGCATCGTAGCCCAATTCATTGCAGACGCCCACCCATCCCACCTCCTCCCCCCCTCAGGCCCCGCCGAAAACTCCCTGTACCGTGCTCGCGTAGCCTTCTTCGTGGATGCATTCTTTAGCAAGGTCGTTCCGCATCTATTTGCTAGTTTGCGCGCGGCTTCGGATGCTGAGCGGGATGATGCTGCGGAGTTGCTGGTTGATGCTGTTGTTAAGGAGGTTGAGCCTTTATTGGAGGATGGGAAGGGGCCTTTCTTTGGGGGGAGCGAGAGGTTGACGCTTGCTGAGGTATGTATATTCCCAGCTGTAGAGATGTGATGTCTAGGTGGGGATTGCTGAGCGTGTTCGTTGGCTAACGAGTGTTATCTTTATGTGACAGGTTCAATCGGGATCATTCCTGCTTCGCATCCTTGGCTTTGCGAAGCCTGAACATGGTCTTGTTAGTGCCAAGTTGCCTGCTTTGTTGGAGCGGGCGCCGCGCTTTAAGCGGTGGGCTGAGGCTACTGTTGCTCATGAGAGTGTTAATTTTATCTGGGAGGAGAAGGCTGTTGCTGATAAGATGAGGGCTAAGTTTGCGCCTAAGGTTTAGATAGAGGTTAACTTAGTGAATATGAATATGTTGATTTTGTTGCAGGCATGATTTATTACTGGTGGGCCGGGAATCATAAAAATAGACAAAGACGTCCCATGGTTGAGTGACTGGGGACTTTTTTAGAGTACGTCAGTGGCATGTGTAGCGCCTCTTTGTAACTTACCCATAGAGAATGGTGAGAGAATGGAGTATATGTACTCTACAGTATGTTATGCAGGTTAAGTGGTGTGATTACCCTGGTACTGGGTACTTCCAAGACACAAGTTAGTGGATATTTTCAAGATCGGAAACACATGTACTACTGTAGACATTGGTCCAATGGCAGCAGTAATTGCCTGGAATGCTCCCTACCACATGGCAAACCCACTACATCTTTTAATGACCAGGATACAGCCCCAATTACACCATGTAAGCCTACGACACTCCTGGCTGAAACAGGTACCGGGTACTTTGTTTATAGGTGTTCCGACTATATCACGTGCAGCCACCCCACCAAGGCAACACCTACAATTCACCCCTCAAACTCCATCTTCCCCCATCCGACTCCGTTTCCTGACCTCCGCCCATCCCTGTAAGTGATATTCGGACCTGCACTCATGGTCTTGACCAGCCTGAGACAGACTGAGAGTCTTGAGGGAATTTCAGCTGACATCGCGTGCCAGCCAACCCGTCCCTTTTCGTTCACTCATCTACATAAGCAATCATGTCGGTTAGTATTACCTACCTCAATGTCATGCCAAATGTACTCCAATACTGACTTGTTTATCGCGCAGCTCGCATCGGGGTAAGTCGCTCACATTCTCCCGCCACATCGATTTCCCCTCATTCCCTCCGATATTGACACTCCCTACAGTGTCCAGGTCCAGGATGACTGCATTACCTCCTTCCAAGACTTCAGCCGCAGCCATGGAAAGACCAAGTACATCATCTACAAGATCGCCGACAACAAGAAGGAGGTCGTCGTAGACTCAGTCGGCAAGGACCAGGACTACGAGGTCTTCCGCAACGAGCTCGCCGACGCCAAGGACAGCCTGGGTCGCCCGGCTCCCCGCTACGCAGTCTACGATGTCGAGTACGAGCTGCCCGGCGAGGGCAAGAGGTGCGCACACAACCCCAGCCAACGTATGACCTGTCGCTAACCAGATTGCCCCCCACAGAAGCAAGATCATCTTCATCTCCTGGGTTCCCAGCGACACCCCCACTCTCGTAAGTGTCCCTCGCCTGCTACAGCGCATCCAAACCCAGAATCAATGGCTAACGACTCCCCCGCTAGTGGTCCATGATCTACGCCAGCACCCGTGAGGTCCTCAAGAACGCTCTCAACGTTGTTACTTCCATCCACGCCGACGACAAGTCTGATATCGAGTGGAAGACAGTGCTGAAGGAGGCCAGCGGTGGCAAGGCATAGATGATGGCGCCGGCTGGATCCGGGCTGCGCGACGGATAGGGGTGCGCCCTCGACGGCGCTGCGGAACGATCAATTCATTTCCTCACTCCGTTCTCCCATTTTCTTCTTAGTTGCAATGCAAGACCGTTACGACTTGGCCTGTTTCTGTTCATTTCGAGGCCTTCAGACCATGCAGTTTGCGGATTTCAATCCAATCTCAAAATCTCTTTTCTTTCTGAACTCTCGAAGCATGCTTGAAACTGGAATTTCGAAACTCGATTGTCAATATTGGGCGGTTTTCCTGCTTATAATGGAGTGCATATGATAGTTCTGGAGAGTGCTGGCATTGTGTAGATTAGTTAGGCATGTCTTTTTGGTTGACAACTGGCTAGAGTGTAGGCGGGTAAATATTCCGAGGCAAAGTCCTGGGTGAAAAGGGAAGAGGGAGCAATTGGGGTTATCATCCAGGAACATGTTAATCAGCAACAAATAAGCACAACACCGCCATATCACCACAGAAAAAGAACATCATGCCATGTGCTGAGAATGATGATGCTTCTCACTGGCAGAATCGAGATGGCCGGGTTCGGCCAGCCAATCAGCAGTCAGCCAAACCCGAACCGCGCTAGTCCCGACCGGATCCTCGCCTTTCCACCTCAAACCACAAGAAACGTCTTCAAGTCACCCATCACCCCCTCCACTCTCTCCATAGCCGTGCCCTGGCGTACCCTCTGGCTTACTCCGTCTCGGCCCTCCATTAAACTCCTCAATTGAACCCGATTTCGACGTGGTGCTCCCACCTCCCGCCTGCCGCACAATGTTTCTTCGCACCGTCTCTCGCGCTGTTCCTCGCAGCACCGCGGCCATCCGTGTCGCCCCTGCCTCTGTGAACGCCATCCAGACCCGCGCTGCCTCTGACCATGCCATCGCCAACCCCACTCTCGCCAGCATCGAGAAGCGCTGGGAGGGTATGCCTCCTCAGGAGCAGGCCGAGCTCTGGATGCAGCTCCGTGACCGCATGAAGGTTGATTGGCACCAGTTGACCCAGCAAGAGAAGAAGGCCGGTACGTGCTGTCTCCAGATGAGCGGGTTTGGACGAGACAGCCTTTCGCTTCGTCTACCCCGTCGCTTCCGAGGTTATACTCGGAATCCCCGAACCATGACTCCACAATCGATCTCCCCATTATAACATATAACTAACCTAATTCTTTGCTATAGCTTACTACATTGCCTTCGGTGCCCACGGCCCCCGCGCCCAGGCCCCCAAGGGCGAAGGCTGGCGTGTCTTGAGCAAGGTTGTGCAGCTGACCGTTGCCTCCGTTGCCATCTTCTACGCCGTCCACGCCTTCGCTGGCAAGCAGCCCGCTACTATGTCCAAGGAGTGGCAGGAGGCCTCCAACGAATATGCCCTGGTAATATCCCCCATCCATCCCCCCTTTCCGACCGTCGCGAGACCTCCCCTGGAAACTATATCCGCTGTATCAAATGCTAACCTCCCCAACAGAAAGAGAAGATCAACCCCATCCACGGCATCAGCAAAGAGGGTTACGAAGGCAAGGGCTTCGTCCAGAGCCCCCCTGCCGAGAAGTCATAGATGTACCGGTCCGACTGGGAATGAGGCGATATCTGAGCAGGACGGACGACGGCACCCATATGACATCGATGTCGATTTTCTCATAAGCTCTTCTGGCCATGTTCATCATGTCTATTTACCGGAGGATGGGCCCTCGCCTGTGCGCGCGGCACTCGATAATTCCCTATTTCTGTCCCCTTTGGCAAGCATCCGAACATGCGTGTATCCCGTACTGTGCTATCATCAATGTATCTCTTTTGTAGCCATAGAGAATATGTTTTCATCTATTTTTGTGTCTCTATATCTTGTGTCATGTTGGTGTTGTGGTTTCCCTGTTGGAATCCGAATGGCGTGGTGTGTCTACGGAGTGATTCGGAACAGACGTAAGTGCGGAGAATCCCTGTAGCAACAAGGTACGGTTAAATTCCTGGCGATTGGGGGATATTTCAGTCTATATACACATACAGTACAGTCAGTACCGCATGTAAATAAAGCTAATATAATCATCAATCTTTATGTCTTTATACTCGACTATAAGGTTATCCCATGGTTGACCCCAACACGTCAGAGATTTCCCGAGCTGGTCAGCTTCTGTGCTCGGACTAACGGGCCATTGACCCTTCTGATGCGGTCCGTTCCAACGCCTATGCCTCTAGCTTTTAGTTACTTAATTTATGAACAATATTTAGCTGATCTGGGGAACGAATTAGTCCGAATTCATATAGCAACACTGTGGCTCCCTGCTTCCGGGTGCCAAGCCTCGGTGTGTGTGCGTGAATTCCAGGGCAACGGGATGAGCTCCCTCAACCACCACGCTAGTGCCAAAGGTTGTAGACATATGGGAGTTGAAAAAAGAAGAAAAAAACAAGAATCACATATATACAAACAATACTCCGTAAAGAGCTTCTCTCGTTGTCGCAAACCAAACGTAGTTCTCGGTTCATCACGGGATCGTCGGCAAAACCGCCCCGGAAAGGCTAAGGGCGACCAGTCCCCGTCCACCAACCTCTTCGCTCCCTCTTCTTCCCTCTTTTCCCGTTCCAACCTCACCTCTCCCTTTCCATCACATCACGCTCTTCAACACCTCCATCATGTTCAAGAGGTATGTTACTCCACAGTAGATGTCTTCAATTTTTCTTTTCTTTACTAATTTTCTTCCTCTTCTAGCGGTCTTGCCCGGTCCTTCGGGAGGGTTGCCCGTCCGGCTCCCATCGCCCGCGCCTTCCAGCCTCTCCGCTCCTCTGCCCTGCCGGCTCTCTCTGCCCGCTTCGCCAGCTCCGATGCTGGTCAGACTGGCAAGGTCCACCAGGTCATTGGTGCCGTCGTTGACTGTACGTGTTGTCGACTCCTGACGGAACGGGGACCTCGCGAAAATCTTTTCCCTGGACCCAATCCATCACCAAATCCATCGCAACCAACCCCAAATCCATCAACGAATCCGAGGCTGACATGCTACTCGCCATTTAACAGTGAAGTTCACCGGCGAGAAGCTCCCTGCCATCTACAACGCCATTGAGACCACAAACAACGGCCAGAAGCTCGTCCTTGAGGTTGCTGTACGTAATCTGATTGGCTGAACCCTGATTCGCATCCAAGCTAACACAAACTCACAGCAACATCTTGGTGAGGGTGTCGTCCGTACTATTGCCATGGACGGTAAGCTACCTCTCCCCTTCACCCCTTTCCTGGCCACCGTGTCGTTCTCTTGCCCAAAGCGGTGGAGAGACCCACCGAGTGCGCCCCTACGCAATAGCAAGAGCTTCGACTGACTTTCCTTCAAGGTACCGAGGGTCTCTCCCGTGGTGTCCTTGCCACCGACACTGGTGCCCCCATCACCATCCCCGTCGGTCCCGCCACCCTGGGCCGTATCATCAACGTCACTGGTGACCCCATTGACGAGCGTGGTCCCGTCAAGGCCACCAAGTTCGCTCCCATCCACGCCGATCCTCCCCCATTCGTCGACCAGTCCACCGAGGCTGAGATTCTCGTCACCGGTATCAAGGTTGTCGACCTTCTCGCCCCCTACGCCCGTGGTGGTAAGATTGGTCTGTTCGGTGGTGCCGGTGTCGGTAAGACCGTGTTCATTCAGGAGCTGATTGTAAGATATTCCAAACCGAACGAAGTGAAAGATGGGTGAACTAACATGGTGTAGAACAACATTGCCAAGGCCCACGGTGGTTACTCCGTTTTCTGTGGTGTCGGTGAGCGTACCCGTGAGGGTAACGATCTGTACCACGAGATGCAGGAGACCGGTGTCATCCAGCTTGATGGTGACTCCAAGGTCGCTCTGGTCTTCGGTCAGATGAACGAGCCCCCAGGTGCCCGTGCCCGTGTTGCCCTGACTGGTCTCACCATCGCCGAGTACTTCCGTGACGAGGAGGGTCAGGATGTGCTGCTCTTCATTGACAACATTTTCCGTTTCACCCAGGCCGGTTCCGAGGTGTCTGCCCTTCTGGGTCGTATCCCCTCTGCTGTCGGTTACCAGCCCACCCTGGCTGTTGACATGGGTGTCATGCAGGAGCGTATCACTACCACCCAGAAGGGTTCTATCACCTCCGTCCAGGCCGTCTACGTGCCCGCTGACGATTTGACTGACCCTGCCCCTGCCACCACCTTCGCTCACTTGGACGCCACCACTGTCCTGTCCCGTGGTATCTCCGAGTTGGGTATCTACCCCGCTGTCGACCCTCTCGACTCCAAGTCCCGTATGCTCGACCCCCGTATCATCGGTGACGAGCACTACGACACCGCCACCCGTGTCCAGCAGATGCTCCAGGAGTACAAGTCCCTCCAGGATATCATTGCCATTCTTGGTATGGACGAGTTGTCTGAGGCTGACAAGCTCACCGTCGAGCGTGCCCGTAAGCTCCAGCGTTTCCTGTCCCAGCCCTTCGCCGTCGCCCAGGTCTTCACTGGTATCGAGGGTACCCTCGTCGACCTGAAGGACACCATCAGCTCCTTCAAGGCTATCATTGCTGGTGAGGGTGACGACCTTCCCGAGAACGCCTTCTACATGGTTGGCGACTTCCAGTCCGCCCGCGCCAAGGGTGAGAAGATTCTGGCTGAGCTCGAGGGCAGCGCCTAGATGTAATTTTGTCTATTTGCTAGCTAGCGCGCCGTCTTACAACTTCCCCCTCTACATCTTCAAGCCTCTTTCTTCTATGTTCCTCTCTCCCCTTGTCCCTTGATTTTTCTCTCTGGTCTCCTGGTTATTTGTTCATTTAATTTCCTTTGTCAGAGCACAAACTTCTGTCCTGTTTGTACGCGACACGCCAATTTCCCCTTTGAGAGACGTGTATAGTACCGATCTAAAAGTGAGAAAACAATCCAACGGAAAGGGACTTGATTACTCATTCCATTTCCGTGGCTTGTCGCATCTACTGCGGTGGTGTTTCGCGTTTCATCGTGCGACTGTTGTTTGTGCTCTTTCTAGACTTGTCCCGAGCAAGGAAACCCGTCTTTCAAACCGGGCTATGAATATCCCGACCGGCGAGACCGGAACAGAAGAATTTTGCGTGACTTGAAGTCAGGGAGGATCATGGAAGAATGGAGTGTTTGCATTTGTTGAGTTTATGGGTGGTTCGTGATTTGTGGTCTGTGTCTATCTTAGCGAGTTGATGGGATTTCCTTAAGCCGGTCTGTGGATTGGATACCAAACACACAAACCCCCCTCGGCCGGCGTGTTTCATTATTTTGTGTATTTAGAGTTCAAAACCATGATTCTCGATCTCTTTTCCTTTGTGATTGTGGTCTTTTCTCCTCTTTAACGTAGTTGTAGTATGTATGTCTTGTACGGGAATGGATGGGTGTTGGGTACTTCGTCGAGTCTATTGTTGTGTACTGGTGCGATGATAATTATCTGATGGTCTGTTCCATCCTCTTTCGAATACAATGTCGTGACCTCATTATCTCGAGAGGGAACGACAACGACGTCTCTTACTCGAGTGTATCTACTCATCTACCCCGGGTATTATCAATCATGCACGAAAAAGTATGTGATATCCTAATAGACTAGATATAGATAGAGACAGATCTGATTAGGAACAAAATGCAAAACAAACAGTAGAAAGAAAGGTAAGAAAGATGAAGCCGTAGCTAGGGGATGCCATCTATGCCAGAACAACCAGATTGATTCGACAGTCCGACTGTATGCATGGAGACAGCAAGGCGGAAAGGTCAAATGGACTTGGATTTGAATGTTCAAGTCACATTCATTACAGAGTGCTTTCCAGAGCAAGGACCTGTATCGCGAGAAAAGCAACGTTAGCACTCAGAACAATCATCCCTGACAAAGCAGTGACAGGGAAAAGAGGAAAAGAAACATACCAAAGCAGTCCTCGTAGGAATATAAACCTGGACAAAGTTGGCTCTTCCATTCCAGCTCATATCGGTAGTAAAGAAGCGCGTCTCCTTGGCATTGCGTCCAAGACCCCCAAAGGCGGCATCATCGGAATCAAGCACAATACGATAAGTACCAGCAACATCAACGCCAACGCGATAATCCGTAAAGCTCTGGGTAGGATTGAAATTGAAAATCCACAGCAAACCCGCCCGTTCAAAGACAAGAACCTTATCAGCCTCGTTCTTCAGACTGATATACGCCTGCGGCGCAGCGAGCCAGCCGTATTTCTGCTCGGTCAGCTGCATGCCGCGGTCGAACTCGTTGAGGAATTTGTAGCGCAGCAGGTTGTCTTCTGTTAGGTTGAGCTGGCGGCGCGCGTACCAGAATGAGTTGTTGTTGCCTGCTCGGGGGAAATCGAGCCATTCTGGGTGGCCGAATTCGTTGCCTTCGAAGTTTAGGTAGCCTTCGCCGCCTAGCCCGTGGGTTACTAGGCGGATCATCTTGTGCAAGGCCATGCCGCGTTCGATTACTGGTGTGAATTCTGTTAGGGTGGACATGTGTGTGTACATTTCTTTGTCGCAGAGCCACATCATTAGGGTTTTGTCGCCGACGAGACTGCACATGGGGTTGGGTTAGTGGATGTCTATATGGATATGGATTTGAGATTGGGATTAGAGTGGGTGACTTACGCTTGATCGTGGCTCTCGGCGTAGGCGATGGTCTTCTCGCCGTGGCGGCGGTTGGTGAGGGTGAAGGAGAGGTTGCCGATGTCCCATTCGTCATCGGAAGATTCCTTCAGGAGCTTGATGTACATGTCGGGGATTGCCATCGCGAGGCGGTAGTCGAAGCCGACACCTCCTAGCTTGTGGGGGAGACACAGGGCTGGCATGCCGGAGACATCTTCGGCCACCGTGATACAGTCCGGGTAGAGCTCGTGCAGCATCTCGTTTGCGAGGGTGAGGTATGTGACGCCCTCCTCATCGACGGCTGGGCCGAAGTACTCGTGGTAGCCACCAGAGAAGCCTCTGTTAATGAGTTAGCGGATGTGTAAATGATGGTAGGAGGCTGCTGTACGTACGTTCCAATGCCGTGGTGCGTGTAGAGCATACTGGTAACACCATCGAAACGGTATCCATCGAACCCGTACTCTTCCATCCAGAAGCGGAGGTTACTCAACAGGAAACGCAGGACCTCGTGGTTACCGTAGTTGAACAGACGGCTGTCCCACAGCTCGTGACGGCCCTTGGCACCCCCATGGAAGTAGAGGTGATCAGTGCCATCAAACTCGTTGATACCATCGATGACATTCTTGGACGCATGGCTGTGAACAACGTCAAGAAGAACCACTAGACCCATGCTGTGAGCGGTATCAACAAGCTCCTTCAGATCCTCGGGGTTTCCATAGCGACTGCTGGCCGCGAAGAAGTTGTTGACCTGGTAGCCGAAACTGGCATAGTAGGCATGCTCCATGATGGCCATCAGCTGGATGGCATTGTATCCCAAATACTTAATGCGGGGCAGCATGTTCTTGGTGAACTCCTTGTATGTAGCGACTCTGGTCTCCGGGGATGAGATGCCGACGTGCGCTTCATAGATTCGCAGGCTCGCAGGCTTCTTGGGCCGTGGGTGCTGGAACTTGTATAGCTCGTTCGCGGGCGGGTTCCAGAAGACAGCGTCGTATGCAGGTGACACGCTCAGGTCTTGAACAACGCGCTTGATCCAAGCGGGGACTCGGTAGATGCGCTCTCCACTGGGGAGGACCATAGTGATCTGTCAAACATTAGCGGCCATATGACTGGAAGCGTTGCGTATAGTACGAACCTTGATCTTGCTTTCATGGGGAATGGCGGGAGCACCATCTTTCGCTGGAACTGTAACGTCCCAGATACCAAAGCTGTTTCTCGTCATGGGGTTGGCACTGGGGTCCCAATTGTCTGCTAGTCTTAGCCAAGTACCTCAGATAGCTTCATCTCCAAACGTACTGAAATCTCCGACCAGAGAGGCCTCCTTGGCATTGGGTGCCCATTCCTTGTATGTGATCTCTCCATTAGGTTGCGCATGCAGACCGAAGGTTTCGTAGCCCTAGTATGAATTAATATGGAAACGAGCAATAAGCGAGGATCAATTCACCTTGCTGAACTTGTCCAATCCACCCTCAGTCTCATTGATAGTTTTGGCCCATGTCTCGACCACCTGGAATCTGTGCTTCAAGACATCGCGATGAGGTTCCAGCCAAGGATCCAACTGGATAACACCTGGAAAGCATTAAAATAAAATCCCCTAAAAGTCAAGCTCATTACAAGCTTACCTGTCCCATCCATGGGGTAATTCGAGCTCTCAATGGTAGAAGACATAGCTGGGGGGGCGAAACTGGAGAGGTGGAGAGAAGATGGGGGAGGTCGAGATCAAGGAAATCCTGCGGGGGTTCTCAACATGTGACATCAACACCCCTCAACGCTTTGTCCTCTCAACTTTTTTTAGTAGGATTTTTTTTTTGTTTCGGATTTTAGTTACCCTACAACTTTTATCTTTACTATCTGCAGAAAGATGGCTTAAGTGATAGCATGAGTACTACATTGAGCTCTGGTGGGGATGTGGAGAGCTTAGGTACCGGGAACGGATCCGCTGTCAGGTCCTGTTTCCAGCCATGAGGGTTTTTGGGTTACAATTTTCGAATTTTGCCTACTACTTTTTTTATTTTCTGTTCCTCCTGTTCAGAGACCAAGAATAAATGTTCGTTCTTGGTATGATTCCTATAACAACTTAACCTTCAGGCGTGGTAATCCCTTTCAAGCCCTAAGAGACTAAAAAGACCTGTAAGGATGCGACTATAGACTACATTCAGAATAATGGTTGTTGGAGCACATACTTTGAAGAGATATTGTTTTTGGATTCCACTTTACACAGCTTTGTACTATAATGCACTCGGTGTTCTCCTAGGTTTACTTCCAAGTACTGACCATGCAGGTACCCACTGTTCCAGTCCAATTGACTGTATTTAGTCGTAAATCGAATTTGATGACTGAATTGGGTTACATAGCCATTTTACGCCACTTGATCCTACTCGTCATCTTTCGATCTTCGCGCTTTGAAGTAGTTGTCACCGTAGATAAAATATTTGCTTATTAGCCCAGGACTTTGTGCCCTGACGCCAAACATACTACCAGACAGAATTACCAAGTCCCCTAGAGCTCTAGCAAGGATGGTTGAAATTACAACTGCCTCTTCAATTGTGTGAGTAATTGAGGCTACCTAGGTCTGTGTATTCACTTCTTCATTTAGCCTAGGCGCAGCTCGAGATAGGTCCGAGCGATTACGAGAAGAAATTTGATAAGTGTTGCTATAATTGGACACACAAAGCTATAGTATTATCTACATAGTATCTACTCTATGCCAAAGTTGATAAATCTATGACTTTGATTCTATGTCTTTGACAATGTACCTGCATACTTTCTCTCGTCTGTGCCCTTGACCAGCCCTGACCGTCCCAAGAAGACTCGACAAAGAAGCTCAGAATATCTTTGTGTTCCTTGTAACCCCAATAATGTTTATTGTCTTTATCTTCTTTATCTTTCTTACCAGTTCTTGACTTCTTTCTTTTCTTTGTTACTTGAAAATGTCTTTGTCTGATACCCCAGCCCATAGTAGTCCGACGAAACATAAATAAGCCGGAAATTACCAGCATTCTCAACTTATCATCACAAACCACTCTACTACTCTACTCATCTGACTGACTTGTGTAACAAGACACCATAAGACATCAATCGGTCAACTGGTCAACAAATCCAATTATCAACCAAACACCACATCTACTTCTAGGTCTCGGTGAGTCCCAGACCCAAAATTATCTCCCCAACACACCGGATTTTATCTAGGCGCCGTTATTAACCATGCCTAGCCCAAGCCGCCAGGATAGCCACGAGACTGTCTTTAACCGAACTAGCGCGGTCATCAAGGACATTCTTCACAGACTGATTGACCTTGCCCGCTCGCGTGAGGCCATCACCGAGCGAGAAATAATGACAAACATCATGCTGGCAACTCTAAATGAGATTTTTCCTATGCTTGAGCACATCAAGTGCCTTGCATTCATAATTACGAGTGGCGAGCCGAACAGCGACCTAGCTCGCGAATTCGGCGTTGAATACCTAGCTGGTGTCTTCCTAGTTGAAGTTGACGGGATTGTTGAGAGCCTGAGGCACGTTCGCTGTTGGCTCATTACTGGCCTTATTACTCCTGCTGGCATGATTGATGCCCTGTATGGTCTCCTCGGCTCCCTGCCTTTCTAGATAATAGATAGCTTACCTCGGTTTTTTTTTTCTCATGAATAATATGATGCTTTTTTCCCCTCAAAAACTCTCCGCGTAATTGTTATACAACTAGATTGTAGAATCATAGTTAAGTAAAAATTGTAAACGAAGAACATTCATTGTATACTCTGTCGTACGTGAGGCATGGGCAACGGAAGATCTTTCTGCTAGATATTGCTTTAGTCACAATGCGACTTTCCTCTCTTCACAAGAGCTTCGATTAGTTTTATGTCCGAGGAAGAGCGATTAGGTAAAAGCAAGAGGAGCAACCAGCCGATGAAGTTGTTTCACGCGACGACTTGGGTAGCCTTCGCAGATCGGCCAGAAGTCTCGTTCCCTTTGACATGACGGTCTTGTCGGTTTCTTGGACTTCTCGACACATGGCGCAATCACATTTAAAGCCCCAGTGCCCCAAGTCCAATGGATCTCCTTCAGGTTCGCGTGTAAAAGGGGACTTGTACCCTAAAGTAACTTCAGTGTTTGGGGGGAGGTCTCTTGTGGCATGAACAACCATCATATCTCCAATGAATGAGGGACGGGCAGTACTGAGGCAAGAATGATTGATGTATGAGGCCAGACGCCGAACTCCACAAGAGTGGAACCGCTCATTGGACTTATTAGCTGTCGTATCACTTTCCATAGCGCTTATATGACTCTCGCGAGAGGACAGAGGGCACCCAAAACCGTTCAATTGGATTATCCTTTGGACGAGGAATCTATATACCGAGCATTCTTTAAGAGCCCTTACCAAAGCGCAGCTAATTTAGAAGGATGTAGTACGTATAGTGTCCTAGGTAAGATGATTCATATCGAGCCTATCGTCTTCGGGCCATAATTACTTTCCCTATTTCCACCATTTTAACACCTTACCGCGTCTAAGTTAAATTTCTTATATATATTTCAGTCTTTGAGACTATCCTCTCGTATAATCATCGCGTAAGCAAAGCGAACTAACCACTTGCAGCTAGTGAACAGGGGCTAAAATCGGGGGCCGCCCCGCCTAGCCTCAGCCGCAAATATTTAGAACTTCAGACACATGGCGTATATCCAACTTGGCTGTCACCCACAATGCCCCAAACACAGAGCTGGCCACAGTCTCACCAAATTACCGCACTCCGGCTATTAGCCGAATCCCTATACGAGGCAACTCGCGGCACCACCGCGCTAACGAACCAGGTTCAGAATGAGCTTGCTTTACTCCTGACAGTTCTGGACGCGACCGAGACGTATCCATCTTCCTTTGGGACGGATTGTCCACATCTTTCCGTCTTAACCAAAAGGTTACAGAGTTGTCATGTTCTTTTGGTGGATTTGCAAAAGCTGCAGCTTCATCCTGATGCCCTCGGTGCGCAAAGTCAGATTAGTGAGATCCGGGCAAGTCTCTCGTCTCTTATTTTTGGACTGAGTGAGATTAATACAAATTTGATGATGTTTGTGAACCCCTATCAATCATAATATCTGAATTGAGGTTTAACCATGCCACAGATCGTCGCAAAAGAATGTTGAAAAAGCCTTGAGGAGCCTGATCGACAATGTCGGCACCGAGAAACAGGAGCTATTAGTTGTATCTGATACTCTGATCAACAAAATCTCAGAAGCCGAGACTGATCAGGCATGGGCGCAACTCCAACAAGATTTGAATGCTGTCGGTATCAGTCCTGAATTGTCTAGTCAGAACCATGACTATATCATCTTGCTACTTCAAAATATGGTGGGAAGCGAGAGACAAACTTCCATCAAAGCCGCAGCAGCTCCAGGAGATATCCCAGCGCCTAATTCTAAGGCACTACCTTCAGATCACAAGACAAGTCTGGATGATAGCGATGACTGGTCAGCAAACGAACCCAAAGGTCTTCCATGTCTCCCTCTTTCCCCAGGAGAAACTTGCCTACCAAGAAATGGCCCGGTACGATTGCACCATCGCCATTCAAAAACACCGGTCGTGATAGAAGAAAACCTCCCAATTCCTGTGGCCTTTGAGATCCAGGACTCCACCAATATTAGAAACCAATCTCTGCCACGCGAAGATTTCCCCATACCAGTCTGGACAGAATCAACAACAGAAAGCGTGGTCTCATCAACAGACCACAGCAGCCAAACTAATCCCTCAATCCCCATAACCCGCGAAACCAACCCAACAACCCTCGACCAAACCGTCCTCGCCTTAAAAGTGACCCGAAGCAAAAAGACAAACATAATGAGCCGGATGCTCTTCCAAATGACAAACTCCAAACAAAAACTCATAACCCCAATCCAGAAAGGCGACCTCCAAACCGTGACAACTCTCCTCGCAAAAGGCGCCGACGCTAACGCCACAAACAACGAAGGCCAAACCCCCCTAATGGCCGCCGCCTCCTATGGCCACGAAAACATAGTCCGCATCCTGATAGAATATGGCGCCGACATGGACACCCAAGCCATGAATGGCGAGACAGCCCTAGGAACAGCCGCGGCACGCGGCTTCGCACGAATAATACGAGTCCTCATTGCCAGCGGGGCGAACGTCAACGCAGGAAGTGGAACGGGGAAAACAGCATTATCACAAGCAGCGTCGTACGGCCAGGACCGTATTGTGAAACTTCTTCTTGACTGCGGTGCAGATATTGATGCGCTGAACAGCACGGGCGAGACGGCGTTGGCCCTTGCGGCGTTGAATGGGAATATGAGAGTTGCGCGGGTTTTGTTGGATCGGGGGGCGGATGTTGATCGGATGGGATATCCTTGGGAGTCGCCTTTGCTTAAGGCAATTAAGCAGAATTTTACGGAGATGGTGGTACTTTTGATGGAGCGAGGGGCAAATCCGAGTGTTGTTGGTGGGTTCCAGAGGTCTGAAACTGCTTTATCTTATGCTGCAAGGTTGAATCGGGTTCAGGTTTTGGAGATTTTCAGGAGGTATGGGCATGAAGGGGGTTTTGTTCAGTACAGTTGATGCCTGTGTCTGTATATAATGGGTGATTGTTTGGCGGGCGTTATTTTCTTTCTTTTTTGTGGTCTTTTTTTTCATTCTTATAGATCTATTTGGTGGGGTTAATAGTTGTAATATCAGTAATAATTGCATTGATATGGGCTTGGTCTTCAAGTACGAATAAACATAACGATTCGCGATTTACTGTTATCACGGATTCAAACAATGCATATAGACAGGATAATGTCTGCCAAAACTTGGCTTACCCTTTCCATTTTAGTGCACATCCCTTGCCGCTTTTTGCTCATTGAGTAAAACTGAGCACGCCCCTGAGTCTTATGACTGACCCAGCTGGCATGGCTCCTTGCCTGAGACAACCATCCAGTGGCCAGGTCCATTTTCAGGTAGATCGAAGCGTATCAGACCTCCTTCATGGAGAGTCCGATAGAACATGTCAAATGGATAGGTCAATAGACAGGTTCAATGTTGACCACATGGTGTCGGCAATATCTTACGAATACTTCTTGAGACCGGATCTATAGGTGATCCGACTGCATAGCTTATATAACTATAATGGACCCATAAATAGCGAGAAATAGGGGTAATACAATACAGAGTCATTGATATCTCCAATCGGTCGGATACAGTGTGAGAATTGCTAACTAACTAACTAGGGATTGACACATGGTTCATGCTTCAAAGATCAGGTGGCATGCGCAATGCTCCATGTATCTCAACATTCTTTCTGGCAGCCTCGTTAAGAGATAATGCACCCAAAATTCAAAGTGGCCATCGAGTCCAACCAGAAACTTGCTTCAATCTGCATGCGATCTACCCGGCAATATTATCCAACTGCTCGGCAGCCGGCCTAAGCATATAAATATTCCCACCTGGTGGCGGGGGAAGCCGATACACAACAGCCTGCGCTTTGCGGTTTCCTGCATCAGCTGCGGCCTGTACATTATCCGTCGCCGCATACGGCTGAAAATCCAGTTCCTGGAAGTCCCACGCGCTCTGCCCTTCTCCCGCAGCTGCCAACAAGAATTCCGTTGCTCTAAACAGACTCTGTCCGTCAGGCCCCTTATAACTGAACAGATCTAGGCCAACCTTCTTGGCCACAAGTGCGAAGCGCAGATGTGCGCCAAGATTGAAATTGGAGTAGTGCCAGCTGCGCGTCCTCGCCAGTTCCATTGGCTGGGAGCCATTAGGCCTAATCTGGCCATTAATTAGAGATTTAGCTACTTGGCATGTCTCTTGTGAGAGAGCTGTACCGCCTGTGAAGAGAGCGAGAGCTGCAATCTGCATGTTGGCGAAGGTCCCGTGGTTATTCTCTTGGCCAGCCTCTTCCTTGCCAAATGCCGAGTTGACTAGCCAGTCTAGAAACTTCTTGTTCCAGTCCATGAACGCTCGCTGGCTTGCTTTCGTCCAGCCTGGAGCATTAGTTGAGGCAAGTATGGCGGCTGCATCCAGAACGTTGGTATATTCCATGCTGAAGTCGATGATACCGATTGCGCGGCCGTCATTGCGGCAAGGGATGATTTGCGCGTGGCTTAGATGAGGTGTCATAGCCGTGGCGGGGTCGATGAACCAGGTCTGTAGAATAAGTGAGGCATGTTTGGCGTATCTGGCTTCGCCTGTATAGTACCATGCGAGTGACAGTATATAGCTTGAATTAAACATCTGCGCACGCGCGTTGTGATCGGGGTATTTATCGACTTCAGGGTTGCGTTCGCCATCTCGTTGTACGTAGGGACAGCCGTTAGTAGTATTGCTAGGAAACCAGTATGGCGCTTGGGATGCGTAATCGTGCATCGTGCCGTTAGGTGGCGCCTGCGTCTTGTTGGTCACGGTCCACGGGCCTTTGCCTAGCCAGCTATCCGCTTGAGCGATGAGATGATTAAGAGCCGTTATATATGATGTGTGACCAGCTCGGATGCGCTGTTTATTCTCAACGAGGCGGGACCCGTCCATTACAACAGTGTTTGGGATGACACCCACGCGAGTGTTGCCGCCATTGAGAAGGTTGAGGGAGGTAGATAGCGACACGAAGAGGCTGAGACAGGAGATTGAAAGGAGCTTCATCTTAAAAGGATGGCAAGGAGTAGATAAGTCAATAAGTGAATCGGAAGAAATGATGAGTTACGTCTCAGTCTAGATTTTCCTGACATGAAGCTTCAGTAAATCTTGCTTCTGAAGCACCTTATAAACCTATATCATTCCATCGCTTGTTCCGAACAGGCTTATTGTTGGTGGAAGAGAATGGAAATAATATATTTTCCACGACTTATATTACGGCGGAGAAACCCTAACTAGATATGGGCGTGAGAATCGCAAATGTAAGGATGTTGCGCTATACTCAATAAAGCACGCTCTGGGCAGAAAGATAGGTAATTGAGCAAATCTGCCCTTTTTTTTTGGATTACGTCTTAGAGGCTAGCTTCGGGTCCTACCTACCTTGTATAAAGAAGCTGGGTTTTGTGTGGGGCAGCGGGGCAGATGTAACCTTGGCTTCTTTTTCTGGGTCCAACGAGTAGTTCCCTGACACACACTTGGTAGGAAGGGAGCAACACTATCGCTTGACACAAGTAAACAGCAGCATCTACACAGTGATGCCATAGCCTTGTGGATACCTCACCATTAAAGAAGTCACGATGGACACTTCCTTAACAGGATGGTAGGGGTCTACTACGGACTGCGCATGCTAGACCATATGAATCAAGCTATTGAATGGAGTCGCCCGCCGAAACTGAGAACTGCTCACTAGGTAAGATGCCGTACAGTATCCAGAGATATGGAGTTGAATCACTAAGCGTTTCCCAAAATATGCAACGCCAAAGTGAAACAGCTGTGGATGAGTGGTGCTGTTTCATGGTCGCATACACCTCGCCCAACAAGCCCATCCCACCCTGTTGTAGAGATCGCCGATGCCCCGCAAGCAAGTAGCTCATCTTAACGCATGGCCTACAGGAGCCTAGTAGATTCAGCTTGGTGATATTGGAGGAAAACATATCATCCGGGTGAGAACTCAAATCTGATCGCAAATCGTTTGTTTAGTATGTCATTACGTAACTAACAGGACTCCTGTGCTCTATTCATTGGAGTAAATGAGGCAATCCGTCCAAAGTTATTGTTCCACCTGTGATATATCAATCTCCCGCTCTCTTCAGGTTCTATGGCTATGGAGTAACTCTGTGGACCCTGAAGGATCAACGATCATTCCCTTTTAGGATAATGCTGCCTCAGGATGGACTCCTTTAATCACAAATGATAGCCAATGTTGTTTCTAATCAAAGTCTGTATATAGCTCGACTCTTTGCAAAGGTATTTATTGAGCACTGCACCCATTGCTTGTCTTCTTCTACCAATTCTCTAAGACCCATACGAACTACTTATCTTTTTTCTCTCTCAAAAATCCCTAAATCCGACACCATGGCGATTAAGAGCCTCCTTCCTATCGCTTTTATGGCTCTTGTCAACTACATACCGACGACATTGGCGCAAGCCTCAGCTTGCGCTCCTGGTGGTAACTTTGATCTATCTAAGTGGGAACTGCAGCTTCCGACTGGCTCGGATGGATCACCGGACTCAGTCTCTGCTTCCAAGCTCCAGGGCTGCGATGGATATCAGTCAGAATACTTCTTTGCCAGCTCTGACGATAGCTCCCTCGTTATGAAGGTTCCAGGTGACTCGTCAACCTCTGGTTGTGTCACTACGCCCAACAGCAAACACTGCCGCACGGAGCTCCGTGAGGAAGACCCTTCTACGTGGAGCCCCTCTGATCCTACCAACCGACTATTTGGCGACGTAATCGTGAAGCAAATCGAGAATGACCGAGTTGTGGTTGGTCAGATCCATATCGATGGCTCGATCTCCACGAAGCCCGTTTGCGAGCTTTACTACAGTACCACTGGTAAACTCACGATGGGCGTAAACCGGTGCCGCACTTGTGGCCAGAATACGTTCAATATCGGCCAAATCCCTGTTGGGCAGAGATTCACCTACGAAATCCGATACGAGAGCGATGTTCTATCCGTTAGCATCAATGGCCAGGATTTCCAGAAGCTAGACACTTTTGATCTCAATAGCCCTGCTAGCTACTTCAAAGCCGGCAACTACAACCAGGGCAATGGTCCCACGGAAGTTCACTTCTTTAATATCACTGTCTCTCACTAGAGCGGTGACATTGGATATATGATAGGATTTCTAACTGCGATGAACTAAATTGCATGGGGGACTTATTAAGTTTCAATACTCCCGGCCCCACACGGTCTAGAATACGTAAATTTCGTCTAAAACGCGAAGTAGTCCTAGCGTACTTATAAGAATCGGAAGTTATAGGTTACTAAATAGATTCCTAGTCGAAGCTAGACTTCCGCATAACCCAACCCGGACCTAGTAACTGGGGCCCCAGAAAACCCAGAAATAACCCAGTTCGACCCAGTTTTGGCATAAATCGTAGCATAAAGCTGATAACGCCGCAACGGGACCCCAGAAAAGGACATACGCTGGTCAGCCCTTGAACCAGCAGGGCCCAGCTCACCCACATCAGTACCATACGCCCTACGGCCATCCCAGTGGGTATGCGACTGCGGTTCCGTTGCAAGATGTTCAGTCTGCGTCTTGTCCGGTTGATTGTCCTGTTTGTGGGGAGCGGGAGATGACTCGTATTGAGTCTGTTTCTGGGGGAACTACGCAGTAAGTTTTTTCTTGCTCTTTATGGGGTTTATGATCGTAGTTATAAAAATGATAGATAGCTAACATTTTCATAGTGGGTGGGCTGCTGCTCTTTTTTGTTGTTGTCTTTGGTGTATCCCTTACTTGATGTCTTCGCTTAAGGATGTTGAGCATTCTTGCGGGAAGTGCAATGCTAAGCTAGCTGTTTGGCATAAAAGTGGGCGTGTCCAGGTCCTGCAAAATGGAAAGAGGAAATAGTTTACTTGCTCTATCTATCTTTGTTCTTTTTGCTTCTCTGGTCTCGATTTAGATACCCGTCTGTTTTCTCATGATACCACTATGTTTGACGT